TGGAAAAAAAAGAAAGAGAACTGATACGTCCAGGCTTGAAATCGGTGTCCCTTCAAAAACCAAGAGGCTTGAAAAAAACTTCCAAGATGCTCATCGTTCAGCAAAAATGGACCAGGCTCCCTTAAGAAAATAAAAGAAAACAAGGGGAAATCAAATCCAAGACGGAAGTGGACCACGTTCCCTCAAAAGACAAGAAAAAACATTGGAACATCCTCAAATGGCACAGTAGGTACAAAAAAGGAAGCAACTCGTTCCCTTCTCAAAAAAACAACAACATGGGAGACTCAATCCTCAAGACGGCACGGTCACCATGCAGGAGAAGGTAAAAAAGACGAAAAAAACAAGGGAAAAATCAAATCCTCACGATGGAAGTCAAATGGACCAGATTCCCCCCAAAAAAATCACACGGAAGTCACCATGGAGGAGAAGGTGATCAGGGAGATCACTGCCGTGGCGATGGAGTAGATCCGCTCCGCGGTGTTGGTGGCCTCGATCTCCGTGGAGCTCACGCCCAGCTGGCTGATGGCCCAGTGGAGGCTCGTGGTGTAGCCTCGGTTGCTTTCTGCTCCCCTAAAAGCGAAAAAAAAGTGGTTAAATACGGAAAACCTACTTTTAAAGTTTAACTTTTAGTGGTTTGGTGGTCGAGGTTGGCCAAAAGTTAAAGTCCTAACATCCCTTGGCAAAATGCACCAAAGTAGCGGTACGCCAGGCTTTGGTCCTCCACTCCATTCCTTGGAACAAGGGGACCCCAGCAAAAAAACATAGTTTCTTTGCCTGGTTAGTTAAAAAAAGCAACAAAATAAGAGGTTGTCTTTTTGGCCTCTGTTTTTTTTGCCTGGTAGTGGAAACAAAGGGGACCCCAGAAAAGCGGAAAAACTGAAAAGGGGAACTCATTCTGGGGAAGAAATTCGTCACCGACCATCCACTCGCGTCGCCCCAGGCATGGCCGAAGGCCCACCACCCACAGGCGATCATATGGTTCAGCAACAGCAGAAGCCCCAGGTTCCTCGCGGAAAAAAGGGCATGCAATTGGTTTCTTTAGAGCTCAACACCAAAAATTGGTTCCTAAATAAAGGCAATCAATTTCTTGCTTTCTGGCGCGACACAAAAGTTGCGCCAGTTCGAGAGATGCCCAAAGCTCCCTCAAGCCGGTTCTTGCTGCCAAACGCCCTTATTGTTCAATCGTTCATTCGCCTTAAACAGGGGTTGGTTAAACTGTTGCAACAACACATTTACATATATATATATATATGTATCGTTGGTTCTCTTAGTTGTTGATTGTTTTTCTTAGTTGTTCATTGAGCGCCATCCTTTTCATATGTATATCTCATATAAAAAAAAAAAAAGGAACTTTGGAACTGTTGGCAGTCCCCTCCCCCCCCCCCCCCCAACTTGACGTCTTCCCAACGGGGCGCATCGCCACGCTGCCGCGCCGGTTCACCGTCCACTGCATGGCCTCCTTGAGGTTCAGCGCCGAGCGGCTCACCTTCCCCAGGCGCAGCACCCTCACCAGGCGCAGCAGACGCAAGAGCCACAGCACCTGCGCGGCTGAAACCACCGAACTTCGTGGTTTTTTTTAAGGCCCTCCAGAATTTGGTTTGCAGAGAATTGGTTGAAACCATTGAATTGAGTGGTATGTACAGGGAAAGGCACCCCTTTGACACCATGGTTGAAACCATTGAACTTAGTGGTACTGTGGATGGACGAAATCCAGTTCGCGCCAGCTAATAGACCCTGGAATGATTTGAATCCCCTTTAAGTACCCATGAACAGTGGTGGTTTGCAGGGGAATCAAATCATTCTAGGGTTTCTTCAGTGGTGCAAAATTTCGTCCATCCACAGTATCTAAGGCCCTCCAGAATTTGGTTTGCAGGGGAATCCAATCATCCTAGGGTTTCTTGAGTGGTGCGAAATGGATTTCGCAACCATCCACAGTAGGCCCTCCAGATTTGAGAGCTTAGAATAAGATGGTGCCAACTCTTCTTTTTTCCCTGGGGAAATCTAGGTCCTCCGGCAGAGAGGTTGGAATAAGGGTACCAACTTCTTGCTGTTGCTGTAGTCGATTTTAGTAGGGGAACCCAAAACTACTGTGGATGGTTGCGAAATCCTCTTAGGCGCCACTTTGACACCATGGTTGAAACCATTGAATTTAGTGGTATTTGCAGGGGAATCAAATCATTCTAGGGTTTCTTGCGTGGTGCAGGATTTCGTCCATCCACAGTAGGCCCTCCAAATTTGAGAGCTTAGAATAAGTTGGTACCAACGTGTTTTGTTTTTCTTTTCTGTAGTCCATTTTAGTAGGGGAAGCCAAAACCCCAATAGAGCTTTCTGCTCCCCTGCTAAAAGTTGAACTTTTACCTAGACCAAACACCCGAGAATCACAAGAAGGGCCCTGCGCAAATGCCCAGTTTGACGCCTAAGGCCTACCAGAACGGACAAGGAAGCTGAGTTCGGACACATCCGGAACAAATATTGAAGACAGAAAGTTGAAATACGCAAGTCATCAAAACCTGAAGAACTTGTTCTTGTGCTGGTGCGATAGGTAGGGAATTTCCGGGTGTTGATTGCAGGAATCGCTTGGGGACTCCCGAATAAAGGAAGCCACTAGTTGGATAGTTTTCGGTCATTCCATTTCTCATTCCCCGCTGAGCACCGGCAATGTGAGTCACAATCAAAACCCGGTAATAAACTCTTCCCTCCATGCTTCAAGAATTCAAAAGGCGAAATTTGAAGACACCGATTTCTGGTTGGGATTCCTTACTACCCTTCAATCTACCTGGGTTTTTGATTGTGGCGCACCGAGGTGCGGCTGGCGGGTCGAGTGGGAATTGACTGCAAGGGTTGCCCTAGGACCAACTGACCATGATGCTTGTTTCGAGCTCATGCTTTTGGTTTCAAGAGATACGCTTGAGACATGTGACCGGCCCTTGGGTGTCCACTTTTGCCGGGACATCTTTGAGTGAGTCCTTCAATCTGCAATGCCGCCGCCCCCCCCCCCCCCAAATTGGCCAGGGACTGGAACTGTTGACAGAACCTAATAGGCGTCCATGGGGCGGGGGGGGTGGGGCCTGGGGGGGGGATTCGTGGCCTCTTGCCAAACATGGCCTGTGAGGGGCACCAACTTTCGCAAGTTCCGATGCCTGGCAGGACGTTTCGAGTTTTTCAACGGCCGAGAGTCTTTTCCATCCAGGGCACTGAAGAAAAAAACACAAAAACAATAAAGCGGAAAGGAAAAACAAGAAACAACTAAATAATATAGCACCCTTGTTGGACCCCCGCGGCACCTGTGAGGCGTCCTCGGAGAAGGCGTTCACCGCCAGGGCCAGCCAGTCCAGACCCACCAGCGCCAGGTCCGGCACCAGCCAGCTCCTGGCATAGTCCCGGGCGATAGTTTTGGGCTCCATGACCAAGACGCCCTTCTTGTAGCTCCCGGACCGAAAGGACAGCACCACGTCCAAGCTCCAGAACAGGATGGTGATCACCGTGGCGCCCGTCACGCCCTGCAGCTCCTGGATGCCGAAGAACTCCAAAGGGATCAAGATGATGTCCAGGACCAAAGCGATCACCGTCAGGGCATCCCACACTGTGCGCAAACGCCCCGCGGGGTGAAGCACAAAGCTCCAAGTCTCAGCAGCTTCCACTGAGATCGACTCACTGAGCGTGGTCACCGTAGCTTTGAGGCTGGCCATGGATCCGGCTCTCGCCATCAGCTTCGCGGACTTGTGCTCCAGCACCGGGCACCAAGCCTCCCGAGGCTTCAAGCCCTCCTCTCCCTCGCGCGGCTTCGCCAGGTCTGAGGACTCGGACTTCCCGCGTCCGACTTCTGGCCGGCTTGCTACCGCGTCCCGCGTAGAATGCCCCACCTCATTGGAAGACTCGAGCGTGCGCCTCGTCGTGCTGACTCGCAGCCCCGTCGGCGATGGCGGGCTGATCACTGGACGCACGACCGGCAGCTCCGAGGATGAAGGCAGGCGCATTGAAACCGAGGCGGTGCTGGGGGCACGCCTCCGCCCATACTGCACATCCTGCTGGTAGCATTCCGCCAGCTTTCGGTGAAGCTCCCAAAAGTTCAGGCCCTGGCCCTCCCTGCCCTCCATCGTGTCACTGGATGAACCCGGACTGTCTTGGGCTGAAGGCTGCCTAAATTCGAGGAATCCTCAAGCTAACCACCTACATCATGGTGAGCTCATTTTAAGGTGAGCTCGCAGGCAAAAAGAACCACCTGGGCCGTTCATGTCGCGAAGGAAAACGAAAGCCTGGCTCAAGTCTTGCTTGGGGGAATCACAAAACGGAATCCACCCCTGTCTCCTGACTCGTGGTTCATGGCTCCATCGAGGAAATGAAAGAGTAACATTTTGAATGGTCGCTTTTGAGGAAAACGGGTCCAACTAAAAGGGTCCAAGAAAAAGGGCTCCAACACAAAACGGGTCCACAAGCAAAATCCAACAGAAAGATATGCTTAAAAACAAGCGCCACATCCATTCCGTGGCCCCGATCCCGGGGCGAGTGCGGGAGGCCTGGCCACCTAAGGGCTCGAGCAAGGGCACGTGCTTCAGCTCCAAATGCAAGTCGTAGATGCCCGGGTTGAAGAGGCCTCGTGTTTCAGCCTTTCTCCAGAAGTTCCCTTCCAGACAACGGTTTGGATATGGCGAATCTGTGGATCCACCACTGTAGGATACTGAAAGAGTGCTTTTATCCTTTTTCCGGAAACGTTCCCTGGGTGGGGCTGATGGAAAGGAGCGCCAGAGAATGCCCGGGTCATTCGTGTTGGGATTTGGGCAAGAGATTGACATGGAGCACCCAACAAGCATCCTTCAGAGCTCATGGACCCCCACAAAGCCTTCCGTTCATCTGCAAAGTATGTCCAACCTTTTGGGGGCCAGAACCTTCCCGATTTCCAAACCGATTTGGCAACTTTCCGGGGGCTCCAAAGCTGTAGATGTCCAACCTGAAAACACTGCAATCCCCCCAAAAAGCTGCGCCCAAAAGCTGCGGTTTCAAAGCACCCCAAAAGGGAAAAAACAAAGTCGTTGGACCCCCTTCGTTTTCCACATGGCCTACTGGATGCTTGTTCAAATCTTTGGCCCTCCGTTTCTTGCTTGAAAACGCAGGCAGCAAGACCGGCCCGTTTAACGCGGCACGGGTGCTGCCCACCCACTTGGCGACCATGGTGGCCAGAAAGAGCGGCACACCAAACTGGTTGTTGATGGTGCACTCCATGACTATCACCTGAGACTTGGCCGTGGGTCAAAACCCAAATCGTACCCCCAGTGAACATCCCAATCCCCACTAAAATAGATAAAACTGGGTGGTGCACCTACCCCAGAATGGTACCATTGGCTTTGAACCATGGCCACTTCGGGCAGGGAGAGAAGCATCTTGTTGAGGGTTCCCTTGCTTAGTGGCTTTACAGGGACACCAAAAGGAAACACTCCCCTCAAAAAAGGCAAATTGCCACTTTGAGAGAATTCCATTTGGGTGACAAGGATTCTGGCACATTAGGGGCTGATGTCAGATGCAGGCAAGCCTTCTTGGAATGCTGGGCATGTCGGGGATGCCAAGGAATGGGAACTGCGGGGATGTCAAGAGTGCTGGGGATGTTGGGGAATCTGGGGATGTCAAGGATGCTGTGGGAACATGGTGACAATGCTGTGGGATGCTTTGATTGCTGGAGATGCGCTCATGTTGTAGATGCTGATGATGCAAATGATGCAAATGATGCTGACGATGCTGCCAATGATGGTGATGCTGACAATGCTGACAATGCTGGTGATGCTGGCGATGCGTCCAAGCAAGAATTGGCCAAAGCAGGAGCATACCTGCTTTGATAGTGGAAGCCATAGAAAATCCAAAAGAACCTGTGCTTCGTAGGTTACTGTGCTCAACATGGACCCCGGCAAACACTCTCTGTGAAACTCCGCTTGGAGCTGTTTTCGAGGGTCCTTTCAAAGGGAAACCAAAAGGGCAACCACAACTTGGGGGTCGCCCACATACTGGGTCAACCTTTGCCTGCACGCATTTCCAGGGAATCCAAGACATGAGTCCAAGTTCCATCAACCTGAAAAGGAGTCAACCAAACTCCAATTTCCACAACTAAGCTGTAAGTTGGCCAACTCAGCACGCAAGATCTTTCGCTTCCAGCCGCGACCATGTCCCAAAACGCGTCCTTCTGGTTTCCACACCTTCCCCTGCGAATTGCGTGGTTCCTTTTGGCTTCCCTTCAAACTTCATCCTGATCTGGTACCCGCAAAAATGAAACCGAACCTCCGAAGAATGCAACGCTTCCAAGACCCTCTAAAAGTTGCCCGCCCAAAAACCTACTGTCAGCTTACTGACCCATATAGGAAGCTTCACTTTCGGCCGCCTCAGTCCCATCGCTTCAACGCGCGCCTCCCGTGGCTTTTTGAACCGTTCAAACGGATCTCAAACAAATCCGAAAACCACCATCCCACAAATATTACAACATATGCTTACCTCACCTCTGGGAACAAAAACACACACACACTGTGAAACACACACACACACACACCAACGCCCCTCTTGCACAAATTGCAGAAATCAATATGTCTTTCAAACAAAACACAACGCCATCTCCTCTGACAAAAACCAAAACGGCAACCCCGCGCGCTCTTTCGACGATGGCGCGGACAGGGAGATGGTGATGCGCCCCAGGCCCGCGAGCGCCGCCGCGGAGCCCACGAAGGCGAACTTGTCCGCGTCCGTCTGGCGCGCGCGCGCGCGCGCGAGTTTTCAAGCGCGTGAATCGATGAATGCGGTCTCCCCCGGGGAAAGCAATCAGGCTGCCTGAAAACACTAAAAGACCAGATTCGTGTTGGTCCTACATTATATGCAAATATATGTATGTATATATATATATATATATAAAGGCACTCAAAAACCGCCCAGGGGTCAAATGGTGCGTCTTTGCTTGTCCCCAGTGAACGTGTTTGAGTAGCTCCACCCCCCCGCGGGGTGAATGCGGCTCCTTTTCCGGGGAAAGCAAATCTTCTGGCCTGAAAAAGGGGGGTGGACTGGTGTGGATTGCTTTTTTCAGCACTCATCTTTTCCACGCTCGGGTCGAAACTTAAAGGGATGCTCCGAATCCGACTTTTGATACGGGCGATCGCTGACCTCAGTCGCTCGGCCGCCCAGGCGAGCGTGCAAACCTCTTGCGTGGTGCCTGCTCTCTTCAATTCGCCCGACTCAGCGGTCTTGCCCTTCTTGGGGAGCAGCGAGTGTTGGCGAAATGGAGGTGACGAATTCAATTCCAACCTATGTTGCTGAGATGTCATCACCCTTTACTTGCGTCAACTTTCACCCTGGTGTATACAGTTTCCTCACAGGACATAGGAAAGATTCGGGAGAAGTTTATTGCATATAGTTGTTGCAATGGCTCCTCATGGCTCTGAATCACTATGTGAAGGATAAGGAAAGGAAGGGTACCATCAGAAACACAGACGGGTCCCATATCTTCGCCCTTCCTCGGTCGCCAAGTGTCAAGATTGCCCTCCAGGCTGCATTTGTTCCCCTGTGCTTCAGCCCACCCAGCTGGAGTACGCAGAAAACAAGATGGTGAGGTTCTCTTTCGCACTGTGGATGGACGAAATCCATTTCGCACCACCGTTCAGAAACCCTGGAATGAGTCACTTCCCCAACCTAAATGCCAACCAACAATGGTTTTCCATTTCGAGGTGCTGCGAAGTGGGTATGTTCGAATGCATGTCTGTGTGAGTGTGTGTTTTCTATGACCTGAATATTTCGTCCACCCCAGCCATGTAAAGACCCCAGGCCACGGCTTTAGACTCAAATGAAGCCGACAAAATTTGCAGTACCCTCGAGCGTGTCTCTGATGCGGCTATGACGTGTGAAGCCAAAGAAACCACAAAAAACACTGGTTTGATGATTTCTCGGAAAAGTGGGATAGAAGGGGTTGGCCCCTTGGTGAAAAAAGGACTTACCTGGGTTGAACAAGTGGGATGGCTGGTCCGATAGCCGGCAGTTGTCTCTAATATATATATATATATATATATATCATCGGCAACCACCTCAATGGTGGTCATGAATTCCTACCAAAATGACGTTCACCAAAGGATCTCCCATCAAAACAAAGAAGAACAAAAGCTCCACTTTCACGTCCATTTCAAAATATCCCACGGTCGAGCCTGTAGATGCTCGCAACTTGACAACAAACAATCAGATGGCCCCCCTTCAAGGTCACCTTCTCAGAGGGTCCTTTTTGCTCCCAAAAAGCCATCCTGAGGAGGTACCAAAAGGGACATTCTGGGAATAGAATTGCGGGAGATTTGCCTTAAAACACCAAGTGTGAACTTTCAACCCCCGCAACATGACTTTCACGCTTGGCCCAACCTGAAAGGGATTGCGATTGAGGTCGAGTTCCCGAAATTAGATGGATGGATGTGGTGAATCGTCACGTTCCTCTCCAAATCTGGCCTGGCAAAAGACGGAACGTTCTTAGCCCCAATGTCTTTTTCATAACCAATAAGCCCGCGTATCCCCAACCACACTCCGGAACCCTTCCCGAAACCAGCCCGGAACTGCTCCGAACCAGTCCGCTTACAGCTGTTACAATGAGCAACTAGAAAACCTGCCAAGAACAGTGGAGATGTGAAATCCACGTGTTAGCACAGTGATGGGAAGTGGAAAGGGGCGAGTCGTTCTTGAAACTGAGGCACTATCTTTGGAGTTGCTTTGGGAAGGATGTTCGCCAAAGAGCATGAGGCAAGACCCCATTCTTGACTAAGCCAAGTACGCGTGACTGTTCCACCGGGAGAATCAGCAGGGGTAAGTTCCGAAAAAATTAGCGATTCAATTTGCGAATTGGAATTGCCACTCTTCAGCCACAGACTTGTGCTTTCCCAAGATTACATGGGAAAAGGAGCGAGAGAGTCCCCTGGTGGTTGTGGTCCCCCTATGTCCCTCCCAATTGAACCATCTGCTGGTAACTTTGACCGAACCTATAGGAATTGCCCTAACAATTTCTGTGCCACTTAACAGGCAATGAACATTGGAAGACCCTGGGGTGGGTTCCGTTTATCAGGGTTACAGGACACATCCACAATCCATCCACTTTACAAGGTTCCTAATCCGCTTTGGATTATCTCTTCGCCCAGCTTCCGCTTTTTGTCCACACAAAGGCCCTAAAGACAGTCCCAGTTAGACAAAAAACAGCAACTGGACCGCGGGGCCTCGTGCGGCACCAGCCCCATCTGGAAGAGGCCCATACCGAAGAGCTTTCCCCACCTGAAACAAAGAAACAAGCCAGGCAGAGATGGCCCCCGTGGTGTTCAAATAGGGAAGCCTAAAAGAAGGCTCCACCCACATCCACCAAGGGTAATTTGGAGTCCATTTTTACCCGTCACCTAGGAAGCCCTCCCGAAAACAAAGGGAAAAATCGCTGAAAAACCCCCGCGATTTCGGAAGTTGATCCACTGGGTTTGGCTTCAAACAAGTGGCACCTTGAACGCGGGGACAACGGCGGGGCCCACAAAAAAGGGCTTCGAGCCGGGGGGGAGGGGGTGCTTCTGGTGTCTCTAAATCAACATATAAAAGGGGCGCCCATGGAAAACAGGCACGCGTGTCTTGCCGGAAGCATAACCCTACCAATCATGGAACCATGACTACGATGTGAAGGGACTCAACGGTGCTTCTTTCCCACCTCAACAACTCCAACCGGCCCGCCCGCCCCCCCCCCCACACCTAAAGAAAGCACAAAGGCAAAATTAAGGAAGACCAATAAAGCAAATTTGAAGAAGTAAGCCTTAGGCAAGCATGGCTTTGCTCTGAGAGGTAGAAGGGAGCCCAAAACCCACGGTTGCAGCTGGGTCAGACTTAGAACCCCTGCAAAAGCTAGCCCTGTGCCAGTTGAAAATTGAGGGAAACCCGAGGCTGAGTAAAGTCAGGTCATGACTAAACAACTCACGGAATGGCTTTCAGAACTCGGCAATACTCGGAATCCCCGGGTAAGCCAAGCCTTCATGGC